ATAGAATAGAATAGAATAGAATAGAATAGAATAGAATAGAATAGAATTCTTTATTGGCCAAGTGTTTTTGGACACATAAGGAATTTGTCTTGGTGCAAATGCTCTCAGTGTACATAAAAGAAAAAAATACATTCGTCAAGAATCGAGAATCATAAGGTACAACACTTAATGATAGTCATAGGGTGCAATAAGCAATCAAATCATACTAGGAAACAGTCAATAAAAATGGTTAGGGTACAATCAACAAAGTTATAGTTGTACAGTCATAAGTGGGAGGAGATGGGTGAAATGAAGGATGGGATGATTAATAGTAATTATAATTCAGACTTAATAAATAGCAGCATAAAGAGATTGGTCTGTAATTTTCAACTAGGCTTTTTGAAGATGGGGATGACTGTGGCTTGTGACCATAGTTTTGGCAAGGAGCTGATTTTTCAAAGATTATGCTTAGAGGTTCGGCTATGGCAGTGGATAGCTTTTTTAAGAAGTAGGCACATATTCTGTCCGGTCCAATAGATAGAGATGGTTTTAGATCGCACAGTGCTTTTTCAACAATGTCTTCTGTAAAATCTATATGTATTAGATCATTGTAGTTGTCTGTGGTTCGGCTAGGAAATACTGGGCATGATCCATTGCTGTTTACAAATACTGAGCCTGAGAATGTGTTAAAGAGGTTGGCTTTAATGGTGTCATCATTGCAGTCTCTACCATTAGGTCCTTTCAGCTTTTATATGTATAGATATATAGATTCCTCCAAGCCTACTTCATCCCAACCCTCTCTTTCATTTCAGTCCTCAGACGTTTTGAGAAGGTTCCTGTTTCCAATCTTATCTTCACCACGGAAGAATCAGAAATGGTCAGAACTAAAACACTCCAAGGAACACCTATGAACACCCTTCAGCAATGTGTTGCAGGTCAGAATGTTTCCACTGCTTTTGGTTTCCAAACCTAAAGTTTTCTAAGCAAGGTAGAGTAGTCATTTGAGTTAAAAAAATCATAAAAGATAAAACATAAAGTATCAGTACTTGTGAGGGCCTTGGGGCTCTCTGAGCAGGGTTGTTTTCTTGCAGACATTTTATTACCTTGCTAGGTAACATCATCAGTTCTAGAAGGAGGTGAAGTTTGCTCTCAGAGAGCATCAAGGACCTCACAGTTCAACCCTGAGCTACAAATCTTCTCTTCTATTAGTCTTGTGGGCCACCGGCAGCTGGCGGAGCTGGCAGCAGAGTCGGACAGCAGTGAGGAGGTTGGGGAGGAATCTGGTCTAGTCTTGGAGGCTGAGGAAGGCTCGGATGAGGGCTCTGCATCAGAGGCAGAGATGGGGCCAGGGCAAGCTGGCAGATATCAGCTGCCTTCGGGCTCAGATAGCAGTTGGAACCGGTTCCAAGCCTGCGCTTGTGCAGAGCTGCTAAAAGAAAGGAGCAATTAAGAACTCAGGGTCAACTTGGGAGCAAGGCCACAGGTGGACAATGAATGGCCCCTTCCATCAGGATTAAAAGAGGAACAAAAGGGGAGAGGGCTTTTGCAGGAAACAACTTGCTCGTTCAGTCAATTGTTTGTTCCAGCCTTGTAGAGATTTGTCTGTCAACCCAGCCTTCCCTGCCAACAGCGAGTGTGGAATTATTTACTGGTTCCAGGATTGATAAAAGTCTGAGATAATTAGTCTACCTT